ATTTTTTATCATCATCAATCTATATGGGCTCTATCGCTGCCCAAGAGCCGAGTACAGATGGCTAACGTGTGACTTCATGTGAAAGAAAACTTGTTGGCGTTTTGACGGTCGCTTTGTCTCATGAATACCTCGAGCATTCGAAAGCAAATCTTGCGCATATTAGGTGGCAACAAGTAAAGCTCCATATATACTGCAGCTTCACGATTTGAACATTTTTTTTCTGCTTTAATGAATCCCCTTGCTTCAATTAGTTTTTAAATCCTAAACAACGCGGATTTAAACAGGATTCTTCACGTACAACCCAAATAATTGAATTCTATCATGATATAGCATCAGTTTTAGGATAATCGAGGACAAATTGTTTATTTTTGACTTCAGAAAGGCCTTCGATGCGGTATCACGCTCGATTCTGATTCACAATCTGTAGAACTTGAACCTTCATAAAACCATTTGCCGATGGATTGCGGGCTATAACTTCAAGAAAACAGAAGGTTGATCTAGCTGGATCATGTTCATGTTTAGTTTCGGTGACATAGCTTTACCTCAAGGTTCCGTACTCGGCCCACTTCTCTTTGTGTTTATTAATAATATTTTGGATACAACTAAGTGTCGTATTAGAATGTTTGCTGATGACCATGTGTTTTATATTGAACTGACCGACCAAATGAATTTCACCCATCTTCAGGATGACCTTAATGACGTGGAGGTATGGTGTAAAAATATTAATATGGTACTAAATACTAATAAATGTGTTCACGTCAGTTTCACCAAAAGGGTCATTAGGTTTACAAATCAGTACATCTTAATGCAATGGAGTTATTAGGAAATAACACAAATACAAGTACTTGAGTGTCACATTTTCTTAGAATGGGAGATGGTCTGAACACATTGCCAGTGTTCTCAGCAGGGCTGGAAAAGCCCTAGGCTTTTTATAAAGAAATCCTAAACATGTACCCAAGGATATTAAATAGGCAGCATATTACGCTTATGTCAGACCAATACTGGAATACGCCGCTCCTGTGTGGAATACGTTTCACGAAGTACAAACTCATGCACTAGAGCACATTCAGTCGATAGCAGCAAGATCTGTTCTGGGAAAATATGACTGAACTGAAAGCTCTCAATGTATGAAAACAGAACTTAATTGGCTACACTTACGAGATCGAAGACGTAATCTAAGATTGAAACTATTTTCTTCAATCTATAACTAGAAAACACGCGTTAATCCTTCAGAATACTTAAAACTAGCGCATTATCATTCCTCTCGTCATGACCACAAATTTAAACTACGGCCATACAACCCCAGAACGAATGTTTTTAAGCATTCTTTTTTTTTCCGCAAGCCTTTGTCGAATGGAATATGTTTCCAGCTGATTTAGTTGGCCGCAAGACTGCGGATTCTTTCTATGAGGCACTGTGCCCCCCGAAATAATGCCTAAGATGGCGCTGCAGGCAATCTTCAAAATAAATAAATAAATAAATAAATATAAGAAAACAGCTCGGATTGTGAAGGTGCGCATGCGCGCTTGTCCGACGGTTTGTGACACTTCCATGTCGGTTTTCACTAAGGAGTCGGTAATATCCAGCGCCTGTCCTGTGTATGCGTTTCTTACTTGTGTCTACGTTTCGGTTTTTCGCGCTATGAATAGGAACACATATGAAGGAAACCAACTGATCCTCATCACCACCGTAGGAATGGTGTCTCGGCAAAAGACGCTTCTGTAAAGACGTCGTGTTTCTCGCTAACAATGTTCCTTGCAGCACTAGAACCCAAGAGGTTAGTTAACATCTACTAATTGCACTAGTCACACAAATAAGTTAGTTGCCAAGCGATTGAGTGCAAATAGCTGCAAAAATTCGCTTTGGTCGCAAAGTGACTGCCTCGACTCAATCACTTGTTGTGTTATTTTTTTCAGCCATGGAACATCTGTAGCCAACTTCTGAAACAATGAGATGATCAGGGTCGGGACATCCGTTTATATTATGGGACAACTAAAATACGAGTCATATGAGAACGGATGTCAATTGTGTGCGGATACATTTGAGACGTACGCAGGCGCGAACGTCGATCTGCTTTAGTCACTTTTTGGTGGCCAGTCGCAATTTGTCATGCGACGCTAGTCGCAGGTGTGAACAAGCTTCAGGACGGTGAATTAAAATGAACAGCGCAACCACAATACGCACCAAAGAGGAAGCAAACGAGACAAGCGAGTGTCGTGGGGCACATTTTGTGTTTGTGCTGTTAACTTAAGTTACTAGGACCGAATGAAGTTTAATTTAAGATGGTGGTCGCAGCATCATTTTCGAATGTAGTGACGACACTTTAGAACAACAAGTTAATCCGCACTCACGGTTCGGAGAGCTCCTTTACGTCGGCGTCTTTTGACACGCCCTGGAGGGGCAGACTGTGCGACTGCCGAGCCGTTCCAGATGGTAGGGCGCGCCGGTGGTCGCCGGACATGGCCATCTTTGCGGACGTGGCACTGACGACGCCGCTGGACGCCATGCTGCTCGTGACGCTGGTCGTGGGGCTGGACCGCGTACTCGTTTGGTCCTGTGCGACTGAATAAGGGTGGCTGGACTGATTTGGGTGGCCCGTTCCTGCCTGCATGTATGCAAGCAATGGGTAAGGCCGTTTCACGTGACACAGATCGCAGTGATCTTTCAGGCTGTGAATTCCCTCACAGCAAATGCAAGAGCTGTTTGCTTTGGCCGCAGCGGCCAGCGGTGCGTGACCAACATGTTGCCAATCCAATTATGAATTTCTCATGCTGAGCTCATAGCTACGGGATTTAAAACTCCGCGAGGTATTATTACTACTACCTGAAAATTGACTCTGCCCATCTTCGGAGATATGCACTGTTCCGCAGCAGTTGAGACGCTGTGCTCCCGTGAAGCTCGACCGGCCATTCGTCTCGAGTCTTCACGAGTGTTGAGCAATGAAGCGAACAATGGCCCAGGTGGAGGCACGTGGTCCCACATCGATGTCCATAATCGGCCATCTTGAAATCCAGGCGCCCTCGACGCACCGAACGAACTCGACGTCGTCTCTTTCATGGCGGCTGATTTCTCAACTGCTGTTCCCTGGTTTCGTCAACGGACCCTGCGGGGGGAACGTGCTGGCAGAACGTGCCGGAAGAACGTGCTGGTAGAGCACGCGGGCCGATGATGATGGTGTTAGTAATGTACTTCTCAAAGGGTGCGTACCCACTTCGCGCTAATTGAAACCATTGGTCCATCTTTCTACCTTTCAATACGTTTCACATGATTAACTGTGTAAAAACTATTTTGAATAGATTCATTTTGAGAGGTGCTCTAAGACTATTTTAGACAATCATTCTCACGAATGCACGAGAATATAGTCTGGCATTATATTTACTTATTGGTTTGAATAAATATGCTTATTTTGTCCCCTAATTACTTTGACCTTCGGTATGTTTCATATAATTTAGTTTTTGGTTTAATCATATATTGATATGATTAGCTAGTTTTTTTTCATTGTTCATATAAAAAGCATAGCAGTCTTTTTTTCTCCCCAAGTGGATATTGTCTAATAATGAGAAAGAAGAAAAAGAAGACGGAAGAATCTAATTTGGTAAGCTTTATAAAGAACGGAAAACCTTCCTCGCATGGCCTAGCGAGCTTCTTTCTAACGTTTTAAACAGAAAGTTTGCTATTCGGTCCGCCGGTGCGAAAGAGACGACTAAGTCATTGGTTATATGTAAAGAGGTATTTCGTTACGTACGTTAGCATAAAGGTGAATTGCACAGCAACTGCAATACAACAGAAAGGAAGTGCTGCATTGGTAACTCCGTTTTAAATGCAAAACGTGAGTGCTGTACAGAACAGGTACTCGAGACAACGACGACACGTAGAACGACACCATACTATCTAAGTAACACATCTTAGTATGGTTTTTTTCAGCAGTACCGTTGATGTCGTAGAATCACGCAATGATGTTGACTTTCCATCTCAGCATGCCATGATGCAGCAGCCGTTTGGTGGCGACAGTTTCTTGCTCGTTGTGGTAATTTGATGGTATTTAAGTTGATAGGGGTCTGCCAGTACGAAATATGTAGATATTAATCACAACAGCATGGGATTGCTACACACCCCTTTATAATTCGTGCATGTTGTGTGGAAGTGTTCCAGCTTCTTCTCACCATTCCACCCCTTCAAGGCCACATCTCTTGACAGCCCCGATCGTAGTCGAGCTAAACGGCTTTACTACAAGTCAGCTACATTTTGTTGCAGGCCTGCTGTATACTGTTGCAACAAACCATGCGTACGTACACTTCTGAAACAGTTAATAAACTCTGGACAAAATGACGACATATTTATATCCTGTAGCTCCTTCTGCACCCCGAAAGTTTAGATTCCAATGTCCTCATCTTCCACTCCCCCCCCCCCCCCGGGAAAAGTGCAAGAACTACGTTGGTGAGCAATGTAACTATGAGCGTGAGTGGCTGTTGCTATTCATGAGATTTACAAAGGCAGCGAATTGTCAAATCGTTTGGAATACATCGCGTCGAACGACGCAAACAACAAACTCTTGAGGTGAAAAGAAGGATGTTTAGGGAACAAATGAGTTCGCTTTAGCACTCTCTCATGAGAAATTGTGTAATGGCAAGCCAATTAAAGAGGCCGTAGTCACACCCTGGCCAGTGGCGCAGCCAGAGGGTGGCACACAAGTGCCTGCCAGCGCCCCCCCCCCCTCCCGAGTTGTTTCTTTTTTTTGTCATGCATTCATAGCTTGAAATGTAAAGTTGCATGTCTTGTCCCCACTTAAGATCAAGGAGGTGCGCCCCACCCCGAACAATTTCTGCATACACCCTTGCTCTGATGCAATGATAGCTCACAAGATACAAATTTCACAATGTCTTAGATGGACTTTCTATATTTTGGGTGAGTAGAAAGGTCAGTATGAAGGCTAGTGACAGCAGGTGAAGTGTCATGGCACGTGTACGTTGTGCTACCAACGTAATATTTTCTATTTTTAGGTCACAGCTCTAAAGAATCATGGAAGCTACCGAGCCACGTGACAAGTGGGGTTACAAGATCGAGTTCCTTCTCTCGTGCCTCTCTCTCTCGCTCGGCCTGGGGAATATCTGGAGGTTCCCGTACCTGACTTACCAGAACGGAGGTGGTACGTACACGCTTTTAATTTATTTTACTCGTCAAAGATTCTTTGTTTGCCTGCAATGGTGTAGCTGAGTTGCAGGAAGTTTCCCAAGCATATTCTTACGACGGGGGTCTTACGCTGAGCGCAGCTAATAAGTCGCACTGATGATAAAAAACAATGGGAAACAAAGAAAAGAGAGTGGAAGGGAACTCGAATGCAGGTCAGCTAGCGCTGTCTTTTGGAAAACTTTCCCGTATGTCCTGTACGGGTCATTTCTGTAGAGGATTTAATGCCAGGATTCGAGAGATGTATTGATATTATTCTCATGAATTCCTGAAGTTTTGACGTCAATTCTGAAATATAGAGTTCATGTTCCACTGTTAGGATTCAATACATATATACAGCTTGGTCTGCCTCAAACGAAAAAAGAAAACATGCTAAAGGTCCCTCGCCGTTTCGCTCATGAGCAGTGGCGTACCTAGGAAGTGAAACACCAGCCCGGAGGCCCCCCCTTCCTCCAAAATTTAGCTGAAAATGACCATTTCAAGGAACCCCGCCCCCTCCAAAAAATTATCTGTACGCCTTTGCTCATGAGAATATTTATCCAGAAGTTTAAACAGTAATACGGGATGAAGACAGTCATCTGCAGTCAAGGTGTAAGTTTGAGAGCCCTGTCTTACAGTACCAAACATGAACGCATTTGTTCTCGCTATATGGTTGTTATGAAGGAGCACATGGAGCGTACGCCGAGTATCGCTTGGCGCTAACTGGACGTCAGAACCTGTGGGAGAGGTCACGTGCTTTGTGGGCGTGGCTTTTCGCAGAGCCCTCTCACGTGTGCACTGCCACCAACCAAGCTGAGAAATACTTCTGCGTTAATAAATTCAGCTTCATAGTAGCCACGAAAGGGATGAAGATTTAAGAACTACCATTAGCTGCATCTCACTAAGGTGAAGTTGTACTTGTGATACGCCAATGAAAGTAAATTGGTAATTCACTAATATGGGAACAAGCACTGGCATGGCAATTCTGGTACGTTTATCATTTAGCCACGCTTGTTCAGCTGCCTTCCTGGTGCCATATGTGATCCTGCTCCTGGTGCTCGGACGTCCCATGTACTTCTTGGAGCTCATTCTGGGACAGTTCTGCAGCTCCTCTACCATCAAGTCCTTCGCATGCGTGCCGCTTGCTCAGTGTATTTATAATTCTACTTTTTCATTATTATTATTATTATTATTATTACTATATTATTATTATTATTATTGATAGTGGTAGTGGCAGTTGTAAGTAGTAGCAGCAGCAGCAGTAGTGGAAAGAGCACAGTGGAATGTATTAGTAATTCTCGTATTTAAAACACATGCATTATAAATGACAAAGTGGATAATAAGGAAGCGTGATGAGACGTATGAATGATTGTAGTCCCGCGTGCATAGCTTTAGTGCCAGCAAAAACGGGGACACACTTCTATCTCCTAAAAGGACATCAGGCAGAATAGTTACTGCCGCTTTTCCCAAGCCTTTTGAAAATAAAACTGGCACAAAGTCGATCATTCCAGTTCAAGATAAGAATTATATTCAATACTTTTGATACTGGACCATAGTGTTACTAAAAGTAACGGTCAATTGACTATCAGAATACCTAATGCGACATAATTAAACCATTTTTTTTGAACATTAGGCAGGCTATCGTTTCAGCAGCTTGGATCACTGGGGCACCTGGGGGAGCTATCCCAACTGTGTGTTACTTATAATATTAATATGCCTTTTTTGACGTTGTTTAAATGGCTTCACCACATTCTTCTACGTGTCATTCGAAGCATCTTGCCTAGTCGGATTATATTGGAGAGGCCACATCGAGGGAAGCGCAGCTGCAAACACCCAAGAAACGGTCAGAAGTGCGTCGAAGTTATAAAAGTTCACGACCAAAATTTAACGTAAAGTGTATTCATTCCAACCAAAACTTCGCCAAATGTAATTTTTCACTGCCACTAAAGACACCTACTTATTTGAATAAAGGAAAGAATAGAAAATTTTAGGAGCTCGTTCACTTTTTGCGAACCTATATTACTGAAAACTAACACACACCTGTGCCAAGGAAAGCAAAGATGACGTTATTAGACGCATTTATAATGTCAACTTGAAGAAAGGCAGCATTTGTCAGCTGCCAGCGTGCGACGATATCAAGTGCTACGTGAAGCCAACAGGCATAAAAAGAATGTCCCACGCTCGCCTTCAAGACAGCTAGCGGCACCGCCACGCTTCCACGTTCAAATACACATATATGCCCTATAAAGTGAATGGAGAGATTGCCGCCACTGTAGCTGAATTGGTAAAATATCGGACGTGTTATTCGAACGTTGCAGGTTCGCCCCTGCCCATGGCAAGTTACGTTGCTTCACGTTTTTTTTTTTCGTTTACATTAAAATTGCCACAAATACCATACTTTATACTTTCCTTCGCTTCGGGGTTGATTTTCAATAATATTGAGTCTATCTTTATGAAGTGTGTGCGTGCGTGCGTGTGTGTGTGCGTGTGTGTGTGTGCGTGTGCGTGCGTGCGCGTGTGTGTGCGTGCGTGTGTGTGTGTATGCGTGCGTGCGTGCGTGTGTGTGTGTGCGTGTGTATGTGTGCGTGTGCGTGCGTGCGCGTGCGTGCGCGTGTGTGTGCGTGTGTGTGTGTGTGTATGCGTGCTTGCGTGCGTGTGTGTGTGCGTGTGTGTGTGTGTGTGCGTGCGTGTGTGTGTGCGTGTGCGTGCGCGCGTGTGTGTGTGCGTGTGTGTGTGCGCGTGCGTGCGCGTGCGCATGTGTGTGCGTGCGTGTGTGTGTGTGTGTGCGTGCGTGCGTGCGTGTGTGTTTGTGTGTTTGTGTGTGTGTGTGTGTGCGCGTGCGTGCTATTCTTCCGTCGTTGCTTTCAGAGGATACTGGGTCTCTACAGGTAAATATGAGCGCACTGAGAAGAACGAACAAAAACACTGTTGAATTTGCGCAGGCGTGCCCATCGTCATGATGTACACTGTCTTCCTCACGAGCATCTACTACAGCGTGATTTCGTCCTACGCGCTCGCCTACCTCTACTACTCCTTGTGGAAAGTGCAGCCCTGGACCACGTGCAACCCGGAATGGACCAACGAGTATTGCTTTGTCCAAGGATCCGTATTCGTAAGTAATGAAAACAACTCGTCTGTGCTGTAATGCGTGCTGGTAGGCTAGTTGGTACATATAGTTCCAGAACATTGAAAAATGCTGGTGTTCAACGTGATTAAATCCAGCTTGCCAAGCGACAGCTGGAACTACCATGAAAATCATGAGGCAGCAGTATATGCATTTCCATAGGGGGCATATTTACTTACTCTACAAAGCTGCACAGCCTGGCTTATTCTGTTTGGTAGTTGTTTGAGAAGCTGATATTGGCCACTGTAGGCTTGATCTTAGGTTAAGGTGGAATCTTTGTACTAAAGCATTGCTGATCTCATAATGTGAGCTGGCTGCAGTTTATCCGCCGATTACTATTTGATATTGCATTGTATATTATTGCACCAACACGGTTCCATGACACGTTAAGCGTGAGTAAGTGCGTAGGAAGAGATAGTTCGGGTAGACTAGATTGGCTAGAAGTCACTTGACTTTTACAATCATCTTGCGATGATTTCTGTTTTCTTTTTAATGCATTCTTTTTCACATTCAGAAATCATGTAAGGAAGCCAACGAATCTCTGCTGATTCTTTTCGGACGCGTAAACTCTACCGAGAGTAACGCGGTGCCCATCAAAAACGGCTCCGTGGTCGTCATGGTGCCCCGAGACGAGTTCGAGTCCAGGTACCAGGGATGCAAGAACGCGAACGAGACCTCGATGGAGCAGTTCTTCTAGTAAGTGCATTATGCCTGTAATATGCGTTAAGTCTCGTACAGCTACGTGTTGCGGTAAACTTATTATTTTAAACACGCGTACGTTTTGTCGAGGTAAGGGCCCTCCGGTGAGAGTGGGAAGGTATGCCGTCTTCTGCGTATTGTAAATGATGGTGTGCTGAGAGCTGCATTTCTGTAAAATCGGCAGGGTGGTGAGCAGCATGTTCCTGGGGTAAATTATCGTGGTTAGTTACTTATTTATCTATTTAGTTGGTTAGTTATTATTTATTATTTACTATTTATTTATTTATTTATTTGTGTGACTCTCAGGGTGCATTTGAACATTATAGAGGGGAGGGTAGGAAGTATAGTTTAACCAGAAATGAGTATGAGATTATGTTAACACATTACTATGAAGATAAATATAATGGTAAGTTTTTACGTGCGAGGAGTACACTTTATTAAAAGACAACTGAACTCAAACCACAAAGAATACACTAAACAGGCAATAACACAAACGCCGGTTAGTACGATTCACGATTGCGAGTTTATTAGTGCATTCTTGAAACGAGTGGGGTCGGTGGTGCTTACTAATGATGCAGGTAGGTTATTGAAATCTATTGAGTTCTTAGGAGGGAATGATTGTGAACATGCGAAGGTGTTGTGACGAGGTACGCTGACTTTGTGCACGTGATCATGGCGAGCTGAATAGCACGGTGCCGGATAAATCCAAAGTGATTGAAGGAAAGCATTGTGGTGATAGGTTTTATGAAATTAGGAAGTGCGTGATTTCCTTCCCCGAATTCAGAGTAATGTAATATGGAGCGCACTCTTCAATAATGAAACACTATTCAGTTTTCAACTTAAGATATTTAAGAGCGTGTGCTGCCGCTGTAGTGACTGCTGCTGTTGAAATTACTTAAGGGAGATGAAAAACATATTATGAGAATAAATATAATAATTTATAGGTGATTACGAAAGCCAAAAATGCCACACAAGCACTGAAACTAACCACTGGCTTTGACGTCCCTTATTGGTGGTGTTGGCGTCCTGCAGCGTAGGCGACGAGTAACGTAAAACAATGAATTTTGACGTCACCACGTGTGACCAAAGGTCGTCGAAATTTCCGACGTCACTATGAAGTCTTAAATTATGATAGTACGGCATCATCTTTCATCGTGGTGTCATGAAACGAAATCATGCCTCGGGCAAAGGTAAGCCGGTTATGCAAGCAGCGCAAACGCACGTAAGACAGAGAAATATTTCGTAGGGTAGCAAGGTGGTGTCGTTCTATTGATTGGGAGAATAAAGAATATGTCTCCCACCTTCATGTTGTTTTAGTTTATTGCATGTGGGACTCTATAATAGTTTTTCTTAATACATTAGGCAAAACCTCCACTGCGAAGCTGTCAAGAAACGTAATGAGTGTCAAAGTCGGAGCCTAATAGCGGTAGGGAACAATTTTCGTTGATGTTGCCTAACTATACCCCAATACTGGCTTCTGTAGACTGATACAGAATGGGCTTAAGAACACTTTTCCAGTGCTGCTTGCATGCCATTACAAAGTCGGGCTACTCCTACACGACACCACCAGCTAGGCGAGCTCGCTGCAATTCTACACACTCATCTATTTTTGTCTTTCTTCTCAATTTTTTTTTACGTCGTACGTTGCAGCAAGCGATTTCTGGGTCTTAGCTCGGGAATCGCGGAACTGGGCGGTGTCCAAGGAGACGTATTCGTCGCGCTTCTTGTGACCTGGTTTATCGTCTTCATCGCCGTGCGTAGAGGAATTCGTTCTTCCGGCAAGGTTCGTTTTCTCCGAGCCAATTTTTTATTAACATCACAGTGCTGTCTCTTCGAAAGAAGCCCATAGTGGCTTCAACCTCGTACGTCTGAATTTCGGGAAAGCCTATTATTGTGTAAAGATAATGCTATTGCTGCTTTTGAATGACAAGAAACACTTTCTTTTTTTCGCGTGCGGGAAATCTTTGAAAGACCGAAAGTAACTAACTAGACCAGTCATTCTAAATTTTATTGTTTGCCTTCCTTTAACTGCCTTGCGCTAACGCTGCCTTCCTTTAACTGCCTTGTTGCTGTGTTGCAGTTGTTGCAGTGATGCTTGCTGGACAACCTATATACTGTTAATTTATTAGCATTTTATTACTTTTGTAAAGAAACGTTAGATCAGTCTTCTCCTTATTGAATATCTTGAACCTTTCATGCCTTCGTTCATATCATTCGACTATTGAAATTTTTGTTGCTGATTAATTTCGTGAGACACTGGCTGCGCTAGTTGCACATCTTGCTTAACAATTTTGATTCCATGATTTGCTTAAAAGGTGTAAAATCTTGCGGGAAATAATTAACGTGTATAAAAAAGCGAGGCTTCTGCCCACTATGCAGCAAAGTCGCTGCTAAATCTGGAGAAGCAACCTTTCTAGAGCACGCTGTAGACTACCTTAAAGCAAACACTACAGGTACAGTTACAGGGCACCTACTGCGCTATAAAAAATGACATTGCGACGTAACAATTCGTAGCAGTACCTGTTCGTAGTTGAAAAACAGTGTGTGACGCACTATATGTGCTTTGCTGATTCTGTGACTGAGCAAGATGACTTCTGCGTCTGGGCAGTATGCAGTGGATTAGATGCTTCAAAGCACTGGCTCATTATCTCATAAAGTTTTCTATAAATACACTACATGGAACTTGAACTAAGGGGCAAGTGTCTACGTGAGCTGCAACGCTTGAAGCTTCAGTGAGCATGGGAATGATGGGTAGTACATTAATTTGCCTAATTTTCCTACATTCGGCTCCGTTTGACTTCACATGACTTGAAGCTGCCTTATTAGGAAACAGCAATCTGTCATATTATATCACTTACGTTTCACCGCCTTAATGTTTTAGGCGGACCAATTTAGATTGGGTAACACAGTTCAAAAGAGTTTGCTCTCTATTTTGAAACAAAACCTAAACACTTTCATAAATGAAGCTGCAAGTGCATTTGCATCCCACAAGCACAAAAACTAGGCAAATCCGTGCACTACCCATCATTCTCTTGGTCGCGGATCGATCGCAGTGCCAGGGTCCCCTCTAGTTGATTTTTGGAAACTCTATGCGTTATGCAACTCGCAATGGGTGACGACTGATGTTACTTAGGTGCTCTATCACGCAATTTCGCATCTATTAACGAAATTTCTTTGTCTGCATGATGTGTTTGTGCAGTCCCTGTCAGAAGCAGTTTGAAGCACCATCATGGCTTTCTAGCAAAGTACACAACCGCAACACCGAGGGCCCTGGTCCAAATCTCGCTGATTCATGCAGTTCTGTTTTAAATGCGAAGCATTTCTTAGCGAACTTCGGCGACTTTGAGCGTATCTATCTATCTATCTATCTATCTATCTATCTATCTATCTATCTATCTATCTATCTATCTATCTATCTATCTATCTATCTATCTATCTATCTATCTATCTATCTATCTATCTATCTATCTATCTATCTATCTATCTATCTGTCTGTCTGTCTGTCTGTCTGTCTGTCTGTCTGTCTGTCTGTCTGTCTGTCTGTCTGTCTGTCTGTCTGTCTGTACATTGGTCTGTTTGTACATCGTAACAATACCCCAAACGGCATCAAGCGATACGTCAAACGGTTAACCCAATCTGCAGTGCCAACCAATACTGCAATACTGCTATGTAGTCATGTCAAAACATGACTACATGCCACAGTCAAGGCGCCAATGCGTTTCGACGTGACGTGGTGCGCGTGCTCGCCGGCGTTCATTTCGTCGCATCGCGCCGGCGTTGCCACGCAAGGCACCGGTCCAGCCATATACTTGCAGACGCGTGCCGCGCTGCGTTGCTTTGACGCAGGCGCGTTTTAGCACGTCCAGCGTCCCTCGGTCACAAAAAGAGGAAGTCACAGTGTTGTCTGGGTACGCATCGGCGTGAAATGCAGCATGTCACATTTCGCGCCGGTTGCCGTCGGGCCGCGCCTATGGACGCTGGTCGCGCCGGTCGCGCCTGGCGTCAGACTATAGAGTGCTCGCGTTTCGCTAACGTAGCGTCGCTGTGTTCAGCGTGCGCGCGGGTCAACACTACATTGGAGTATATTAGGCCCTTCATGATGTACTCGCGGCCCTTTTGCTAGCTTCACATACCGTATAGCAAATTTGGTGTTACGTGACGTCAATGGATGACGAAATATATGACTGGTGCAAACATGATAATCCTGACACGCGTGTCATTTAAGAAAACGACACGCGTGTAAGAACATGACACGCGCGTACTCAAAAACTTTCAAAGCAAAGAAATGCGTTAGCCTGCCGAAGGGAATGCCTACCGCTTCGATGTTTCATCAGAGTCCACGAAACCGAGCCAGTTGAGTTTTTATGTCCTTGAGACCAAACATACCAAACTGCTTGCATATTTCCAACGAAAACCCAGACTGTTCTGCCTCGCTCGACGCAGGTAGCGTTCTTGACTGTCCTCCTGCCTGTACTCATGATGGCCGCCCTACTCATACGGGGCACGACTCTCACTGGTATCAGCTTCGGCATTGCCTACTACCTGCTACCGAAGTGGCACCGACTTCTCGAATACGAGGTGAAATGTAGAAGAGTTGCAGTACAGTTCACGCTTTTACTATGACACTGGGCCTGAGCTGGCATGTAACGCCTGTAGGTCATCCTGAAATCTTAGTGGGTCGGGTGGGCATGGCGGAGAAAAACTTGAAGTTTTTCTCGTTGGTGAAATACTTAACTATGCTTTTTTTGTGTTGTACTCAGCAGAGAGGAGAATGAGAATTATTCTTGTAAAGAGCAGTGACATTGGCTTGTCTTAATTACGAAGAAGGTAGGGTAGGGCTAGTCATTTCACTCAAGCTTGCATTTTGTATGGTATATGTATTGCTGCTTTTTATGAAGTGTACAGCCACCACCACGTCTCTATAGAACGCTCAAGTGGCCGCTTTTCGCTCTGCAGGCCGAAACCTTCGGGCAATTTCGGACTCTCAAGTGATGTATCAGGAACATGCAAGGCCTAGTTGTCAGCTTGACCCCGTCAGAGCCTAATACTGCCCCAAGGTTTCGCCCCGCAGAGCGAAAAACTGCTGTTCGCGTGCTCTACACAGATATGGCCGCGGCTGTACGTGTTCGTCTGTACGTAATTTTCATTGTGTTCACTAGAAATTTTGTTTTCAGGTACTGTTAAGGCGTTTATTAGTCCGCAACGAGCGAGAATATACAATGGCGACAGTCACAGCCAAGCGCGGGCTCTCAGCGTGAGCGGCGTCCTTGTTGGGTAGCCCCACTAGAAGGTACTCAAGAGTTCGACCCATTTCAGAGTTCGGAGGCTTCGTTACAATTACCCCCGGGGTCAGAGAGGGAGCCGCCTGGCGACCTAACAGCTTGTTATTATGAGCGAGTTATAATAAGCCTTCAGGCGCTCCACGTTGACGATGTCTCGCCCACGGCGGTGCATGTCCGAAGATTGTTCAACGGGTTCGATCAGATAGTTGACGGGTGAGGTGCGCTCGATGACACGGTAGGGGCCTTCGTATTTGGGACGTATTTTTGAAGAGAGGCCAGCTGCAGAGGTCGGGATCGAGAGCCATACAAGCGCACCAGGAAGGAACGTGGGCTCAGAAGTGGTGGAGCCATCACGAATACTCTTCTGCCGCTCTTGCTCTTGCGTCGTAAAAGTCTTGGCAAGCTCGCGACACTCTTCAGCAAACCTGGCTGTCTCGGAAATAGGTGCACACTCAGATGGATCCGGCGTGTACGGCAGAATCGTGTCCATGGTGTGCCACGGGTGCCTTCCGTACAGCAAGTAGAAAGGTGAAAAACCAGTCGTGCTCTGAGGGGTGACGAAGGGCAGTATATTATCCTAATTAGTGTGGTTGGCAGCGACGTACATAGAAAGCATGTCGCCGAGGGTCAGGTTAAAGCGTTCGGTGAGGCCATTCGTCTGTGGGTGGTAAGCAGTAGTTTCGCGGTGGACAGAATGGCACTCAGTCAGAATGGCTTCGACGACTTCCGACAAGAAGACACGGCCTCGATCGCTGAGAAGCTCTTGGGGTGGTCCGTGGCGCAGTATAAATCGATGCAGCAGGAAGGACGCAACATCGCGCGCAGCAGCCGCAGGGAGAGCGGCGGTTTCGGCGTATCGCGTTAAATGGTCAACGGCAACGATGGCCCAGCGGTTACCAGCCGACGTCAGAGGAAGTGGTCCATACAAATCGATACCTACGCGCCCAAAGAGACGGTCAGAGCAAGGTAACGGTTGTAGACTGGCGTGCGACATGTGGGCTGACGGTTTACGGCGTTGGCAAGTGAGGCAAGAGCGAACGAACTGCTGCACATAGCGGTACATCTTGCGCCAGAAGTAGCGTTGTCGAATGCGATAATAGGTTTTGAATACCCCAGAGTGCGTGCATTGCGGATCAGAATGGAAGGATTCACATATCTCTGACCGCAGATTGCGGGGTATCACGAGTAACCACTGCCGGTTGTCGGCGTCGTAATTGCGTCGGTGTAGGAGGCCGTCACGAATGGCGAAATGGCGAGCTTGACGACGCAAGGCACGCGTGGATGGCGTTGCGGATGGATCAGAGAGCATGTCGATGAGCGGGCCGATCCAATTATCCTTTCGCTGATCGGTAGCGATGATGTCAACATCAATGGCAGAAACAGCAGCCGAGGATACTGAGCAGAGCACATCACCTTCAGGCAGAGGGGAGCGTGAGAGGGCGTCGGCGTCAGCATGCTGGCGTCCGTTGCGGCACAGCACGCGGTTGTCGTAGTCTTGTAAGCGAAGAGCCCAACGAGCGAGACGGCCTGAGGGATCCTTCAATGATGAAAGCCAGCATAGTGCATGATGGTCGGTGACGACATCGAATGGGCGACCATACAAATAAGGTCGAAACTTTGTAAGAGCCCAGACAATCGCCAGGCACTCTTTCTCCGTGACGGTGTAGTTTTTCTCGGCTCTCGTGAGTGTACGGCTTGCATATGCTACGACATATTCAGGGAATCCGAGTTTTCGCTGCACCAGGACAGCGCCGAGGCCTACTCCGCTGGCGTCCGTGTGCACCTCCGTTGGGGCTGTAGGGTCGTAGTGGCGTAAAATGGGAGGCGACGTCAACAAATGACGGAGCTTCGCGAACGCGTCGTCGCACTCGGATGACCACGAATTGAAGGGCCCGTTGCTTCCAAGGAGCTTCGTCAGCGGTGATATGATCGTGGCGAAATTTCGTATGAAGCGTCGGAAGTATGAGCACAGGCCCACGAAATTACGCAGTTCTTTGACAGATGCAGGTTTGGGGAATTCGGGCACGGCCTGAAGCTTGGCAGGATCAGGAAGAATGCCGTTTTTGGACACGACGTACCCCAGTATGGTGAGTTGCCGTGCTGCAAAGCGGCACTTTTTCAGATTTAGTTGTAAGCCGGCATTGCTCACACGTGCGAAAACTTCTTTCAGACGTTGTAGATGCGTGGAGAAATCCGGAGCAAAGACAATGACATCGTCGAGGTAACACAAGCACGTGTACCATTTCAAGTTGCGCAGAACGGTGTCCATCATGCGCTCAAAGGTCGCAGGTGCATTACATAGACCAAACGGCATGACGTTGAACTCGTACAAGCCGTCTGGCGTGACGAAGGCGGTCTTTGGTCGAGCGTCGTCAGCCATGGGTACTTGCCAGTACCCCGAGCACAGATCGAGAGAAGAAAAAAAAATCGGCTCCATGAAGGCTGTCAATCGCGTCATCGATGCGTGGCAGTGGATAAACATCCTTGTGAGTGATCTTATTGAGCCGTCTGTAGTCCACACAGAACCACACAGAACCGTCTTTCTTCGCAACAAGAACAACAGTAGACGCCCATGGACTGTCCGAGGGCCGAGTAACGTCGCGTCGGAGCATATCGTCAACCTGATCATTAATTACTCGACGTTCAGCAGGCGACACGCGATATGGACGTTGCCGTAAAGGTGGATGGGCACCAGTGTCGATGCGATGCGTAACAAGGGACGTGTGACCGAGAGAACTTCGCCCGACATCGAAAGAAGAACTATATTCTTGTAACAGGTCCGGAAGTTGGGAACGCTGTACGGCCGTAAGGTTGTCAGCGATGGAGGGGCCAAATACATCAGCAGACGACAAATCAGAAGTGGAAACAGCATTGATGGTACACGACCTGGAGGCGCGCGTGTCATCGGGTACGTCCAGGACTTGTGCGTCGTCGACTGGTTCCACTCTGCCGAGACATTCCCCTCGAAGCAAGGTAACAGCGTACGGGGACGGGTTGGTTACAAAAATAGCAGTGTTGCCCTGGTTGACCTGCACTGTCGCGAAAGGTACTAGCAACCCTTTCCTGCTGCAAGCGCGGTCAGATGGCGAAACAAGTCCAATGGTGTCGGAGAGGCCAGCGCAGTAGACAGACACAGCCGTCGTCGAGTTTGGAGGCACGGTTGTATCGTCTTTCGTTAGAATCTTGCTCAGTGTCGGGGGACTGTCTTCTGGCGTCAAATGCGAGAAGGGTGAGAGCTCAATTTCGGCGGCGGCACAATGGATGACGGCGTCATGGCGGGAGAGAAAGTCCCATCCCAGGATGACGTCATGAGAGCATGCCTGAATGATGATGAACTGGGCGACATACAGAACGTCCTGGATGACAACGCGAGCTGTGCACCCTGCTGTAGGATGAATCCGGTGCAAATTTGCAGTACGGAGCGATAACCCAGAAAGTGGCGTCGTCACTTTTCGAAGTAAGCGGCAGAGTTTTTCGTCCATAACTGATACGGCAGCTCCAGTGTCAATAAGAGCCGATGCACAAACACCGTCCACAAGCACGTCAATGACATTTGAGGGGCTGCTCTGAGGGCTTTCACATTGCGATAGCGTCGCAGTCCTTGCCTCAGGGACTGCGACGACTAGTTTTCCCGCTCATGAGCTGCCGCACTTGGCCGCATGGGAGACAGGGAACGGCGTCGTGGAGACGGTGATCTTCGAGATGGACCTGGGCGAGATCGAGGTGGCATAGACGGCGGTTCTTCGCGATAAGGACGGCTGAGGTGGCCAGCAACAGGTGAAGAAATTGGAGCCGGCTGTACGCGATGGCAATAACGGGCCACGTGACCGGCGTAACCGCAGGCAAAGCAGATGGGCCGGTTGTCGGGTGTGCGCCATCTGTTCACCGGGGTAGGTCTCACCCATGTCGCAAGGACTGATGTACGGAACGGTGGCTGCGTAGTGGACTGAAGCTGAGGGGTTACGTCAACATACGTAGCGGGCACACCCGCTGCAAAGGACGGAGGCCGAGTGGCAGCTTCGGCGTAAGTCAGAGGGGCGGTTGCTGGAACGACTTGGGGTGGCCTGGCGACCACTTGCGCGTAACTCAGGGGCGCAGGAGCCGGAGGTTGTGGAGGGTGGTACGCAGGCATTACCTCCGCTATTTCCTGTTCAATCGCTCGGCGGATGGGAGGGAGAACGGTAGTTGCCGATTGTTGAACAGCAGGTTGGTGGGCAAAGGGCAGGAGCGAGAACTGACGCGCGATTTCCTCGCGGATAAAGGACTTCAGGTCTGCCATCAACGCCACTTGGTCACAACTGGCCTCCAAGCCAGCAAGCGTTGCAGCTCGTGGTGGGGAGCGTCGGGTCATCGAACGCTGCCGGTGGATCTCCTCGTAGCTCTGGCACAGTGTGATGACCTCAGCCACCGTGCCGGGGTTTTTGGCGAGCAGCATCGTGAAAGCATCATCGTCAATGTCTTTCGTGATGTTTCGGATCTTGTCAGACTCGCACATGGTGTGATTGGATTTGTTACATAGGTCCACCAGCCTCCTGAGCACGTTCACGCAAACGCTGCTCGGCTTGCAGCTTGCAAACAGCAGGGCGGCCGAAGACGTTGCCGATTGCGGTCTTGAAATAGGACCAGGTGGCAAAATCGGACGCGTGGTTGTTGTACCACAAACTGGCGACACCGGCAAGGTAAAACACCAAGTTGGTCAGCTTGCCGTCCTCGTCCCATTTGTTGGGGACGCTCACGCGCTCGTAAATGGCGAGCCAGTCCTCCACGTCAGTGCCATCAGCGCCAGTGAAGATGGGTGGATCGCGGATTCTGGGGACACCGGGACAAGGGGGTGGCATTGGAGGAGGCGTTTGCTGAGAAGCGTCGTGATACATAGTAGATGGCAGGGTACGTGATCGTAGCTCCAAAGGCATAGACAGGGATCGCAGCACTCTCCACCAAATTGTTAAGGCGTTTATTAGCCCGCAACGAGCGAGAATATACAATGGCGACAGTCACAGCTAAGCACGGGCTCTCAGCGCGAGCGGCGTCCTTGTTGGGTAGCCCCACTAGAAGGTACTCAAGAGCTCGACCCACTTCAGAGTTCGGAGGCTTCGCTACAGTACAAACAGTTCCCATTGTAGATACGCGTGTATATTGGGGCACATTATGAATGTCATGAGTAGGCAATTGTATAAAAGGTATGTCTTGTCTGTATGTAGAATTCTTTTGAAAAATAACACTCTCTTAACAGAAAATGGCACGGCCAAGCATGTCGTCGAGAACGTAGTAGCCGGCGTTTTCCAGCTCGTCTGTTCCTTCGAGCGCTGGCAGGCAGACGGACCTTCTGGTAGTTTCTAATATACTTGCGTTATTTTCTGCAATCACTATGTCAATTTCGAGAACATAAATGTCAGGCGTCACTTGAACCAGTGATTGACAACATAAGGGGCTTTCGAAGGGGCCTTCCGGCCTCTTTAGCATTCCAGGGGGTCCGGCTGTCATGCTGTTATCATAAGCGGTCGCAGTCGTTTGGTGTAATGCAGGCAGTAAAAATAGTATAAATTGAAAAAAATATAGAAAGTAAACTACAAATAAAAACAAAAAAGAGGAATTTGGTTGGAAATTAAAATTTCGTATCCATAAAAAGGCAAAGACAAAAACTGCAAAATAAACAAAAAAAGAAAGATGGGAGGAAAGAATTAGAAATCCGAAGAGAAAGAAGGCTGCTCAGCTCTGCGCAATCAATGCGTGAATATCAACTCATTGACATTGGACACTACATTCACCACTGTCACAAAGATGTACAGCACGCGTACTAATAACTACCGCCACCCTTCGATGTTTCCGGTTGACGTTATTTAGGGTCAAAATGTTTTTATTATACACGTGCATGAATATGATTATATTTAGGCTTCATGTCTACAGATACTTCTAACGCACTCATGTAAGTCTTATATTCTATACGTGTCGATTGAAGATAGCGCTGCAGTGTTTTTCTTTTAGAAGCTAGTTTTACTGCAACGCACAATTCGTTCGTAACGGCATTGTTGTGTAAATTGAAAGACCGTATTTTGCATTATGCGCTAAAGTAGTTATCTGTACAATACCTATGCGAAACCTGGTGGTCTTACGTATGTAGTGCCACTTTTAGTATACGCGGTACTAAACCTGTTCAGTATATACTGGCCTGTCAGTACACCGCTGCGTAAACAAGACCCTCTTTCTTGTACAGATGGAATCACACTTGTCTAGAGTGATGGAGCACGTAGCTGTAGTTGAGTGCACTAGCTTGTAGACGCTGTTGTCTGCAGCTGCTTCCTTGCGTTAGCTACAAGCTTCTGTCCATGTTTGAACTAGCATGCAGCGCGAGTATACGACATAATTTGGAATAGTGGCCCATAGAAGCACACGGACTGCGACAGATCAAACAAGACAGACGCAGCGTTAATTCAATGTATTTGGCAAGTGATCTTGTATGTATACACCCTACCCTACGTAAAGAAAAGTGAGAGAGAGAACGTGAAAAGGTGCACACAAGGCAGTCAACCCACCAAATCAAACAGGTAGCGGACGTTACAAAAAACATTTTTTATGCACTAAACATTGAGTTCTTAGTTAGCGCTATGCCTTGTCTTGATATGTCGTCGTCCGGGTGATTCTTTTCGCTGCTATTCTGAATGATGTACTATAAACTAGCTATAAATTTGTCCTCTTGATCGTTACGATATCGTATTTGCATACACTTGCAGAAAACAGAAGCTGAAGTGGTTGGCTGGCTGCTCTAGACAAGTGCGGTTCCATCTGTACGGTTGAAACTAGTCGCCGACTTGAAGGCGTTCAGTTCTCCGCTGCACTATTTCATTCCGCAGGTGTGGCAGAAAGCCGCCGAGCAAGTGCTGATTTCTTTAGGGCTGGCTCAGGGCATGGTAATCACGATGGGGAGCTACAACGAGTTCTCGAACAACCCACACGTGTAAGTAACACGAAAAAAATATTTCCCTAAATTAACCCGTTGCAGTAAAGCCTAAGTGTGAAGCATGAAAACTCGGCCAATTTGGTAGGACATAACTGAATATACGAACAGTGCATCTTAAAAGTAGTTACAGTGTAACTACGGAAGCGAACAAACAAGGATAGAAAAGAGCGCTCTTTTTCCTATCTTTGTTTCCTCGCTTCCGTAGTTAGTTTAACTACACATAAGTTGCGCATACGAGACTTCGCCACCAATGCTGCGCAACTTCACCAACTCCTTTCTTCGGTAGCGTCATACGTATGGTCAGACAAATGCCAAATGGCTTTTGACGCCTCGAATTGTCCCCTCACGTCTGAGCTAGTGCTTTGTCATTTTGATAACACCGCACGCACTCTCCTCCATACTGATGCCAGCGGACACGGACTCGGCGCTATACTTTTGCAACAAACAGAGCGTTATGGCGAACGTGTGATCGCATACGCTAGTCGCACCCTCACAGCAGCAAAGAAAATCTACACCATCACCGAGCAGGAGTGTCTCACTGTTGTCTGGGCCATCCAGAAGTTTCGACCATATCTTCACGGCCGCCACTTCACTGTGGTCACTGACCACCACGCTTTGTGCTGGTTGTCGACGTTGAAGAATTTGTCGGGACACTTACTGTCACTCTATGATGCACCGCCTTTAAGGCTCTTCTCGTCCTCCCAACGCCCGCGCCCATCGACAGCTGCGGAACTTGAAGACTGAAAACTCCATCCTTTACCGTTTTGTCTTCCACCCCGAAGGACAGCGCTGGGTTCCTGTCGCTCCTAGTTCCCTAAGGGCGCATATTTTGGAGGCGTTTCACGGTGACCCCAAGGCTGGTCATCTCGGTTTTCGAAAAACCTATGAACGCATCCGCAGTCGTTTTGCCTAACCTGGGCTTTCCACCTGCGTAGCCCGAAATGTTGCGTCATGCTCGCTCTGCCAATGCCGCAAGGGACCCACTTTTTCCCCGGCTGGTCTCCTACAATCTCTACCGTGTCCTGACGCTCCCTTCGATGTCGTTGGCATTGACTTCTACGGACCACTACCAAGATCAGCTAGCGACAAGCGCTGGATTGTCCTAGCAGTTGACCACTTAACACGGTACGCCGAAACAGCTGCACTTACTTCAGGATCAGCAGAGGACATCGCCACATTTTTTTCTGGAACCAATCTTTCTAAGCCATGGTGCACCACGCATCCTATTGAGCGACTACGGCAAGGCGTTTCTCTCGAAACTACTCGAACAAGTCCTCCACGCATGTAATACGATTCATGAGACTACGTTTTTCGTGATGATTATATACAGATGAAGAAGATGAAGGTCAAACGCTGTGAATATTGTGCTAACAGTATATTCAGTTATAGCCTAAGTGTATTTTAAAAGAAGTCTTCACCATGACTCTATCCCACGCATGAACATTCGGAGCGATAAACGAGCTTTTTTCTTATATTTGGTATTTCCCTAATTCAGCTGCAGTCAATGTTGCTGTCAAATGGGTGTTCTGATTAGATTAGCCGTGGTAGCAATGTCAGGAAGAGAGTGGAGAAGTGCGGAAGTATACTTGAAGACAACTGTGACGTGCCTTCATCTAATGTTGGACAACTTTGCTTCTGATGATGTCCTTGTTTTTGCTGTCATCTTAATGATGACGCTCCAAATAATATCTGCAAAGTAGGTAGACGGGAACCATATTTAGCCAGAATACATAATCACAAAACTTCATTAGGAACACTATAGTTTTTTTCCTCGACCGGCTTGTTCCGCCGATTAAAACAGACATTTCGTACGCTTTATTACCTACATCAGAACTTTAAATACTTTATGTCCGAAGCAATGAAAGCGTAGAATATGTCAGAAAAATGAAGTGTTGTCGCAGAATGGAAGGAGAGTTCGTGATGATGATAGATAGAGAGATAGATAGATAATAGATAGATAGATAGATAGATAGATAGATAGATAGATAGAAGATAGATAGATAGATAGATAGATAGATAGATAGATAGATAGATAGATAGATAGATAGATAGATAGATAGATAGATAGATAGATAGATAGATAGATAGATAGATAGATAGATAGATAGATAGATAGATAGATAGATAGATAGATAGATAGATTCGAAATAATATATTGATGTTTTGTGGCCTGCCCGCTCGCAGGGACGCCTACGTCATCACTGTGGTCAATGTCATCTTCAGTCTGCTGGGCGGCCTCGTGGTATTCATGTTCTTGGGCAGCATGTCGTTCAAAATGCGGGTCTCCATGCTGGACGTCCTAAAAATAGGTGCGCTGTCGGCTGTGCGACATTCTTCCCTGATCAGTGCACCGACTCGGCGAATTACTTTTTCTACACCACTCGCACTGTGAGGGGTGTCGGTAATGGCTGTGCTCATTAGGCATATAGTGAGAAGCAGCTACGGTTGAGCGAGTGTTTTACTAAGGCGATAGTATGTTTGCCGAAATCATCTGATGCAATCGAGCTAACAAGCAAATAATTATCACAAAAGTGCTTAGAATAAGTGGCAACTTATTGGTGCTTTTATTCTTCGACGATCTTTAATACAATATTATATTACATAAATACAAAGGAAAGTACAAGAAGTCACCTTTTATTAGAAATTTACACTGCCAAAATTCACGTGACTACGAGAGAAAGCACATGGGTACTTCTTAACATGGTCTTCAGGGTTGTGTATACACACCGTTAAAACCAAGCTTGCATGATCAATGTTCCTTGTTCAATCCCCAGTGGAGCAGCATGGATTTAGATCACACTATTCCACATCAACAGCTGTGTTATTGTTATCACAGAAGATTAACAAAACACTGCACAACAACCTTCTTGTGGCAGTTTTCATTGATTTAAAAAAGGCATTCGATACCGTCGACCATAAAATTTTGCTTATGAAATTAAAACACTATGGATTCCGCGGCAAAGTTTTTAGCCTCCTTTCTAACTACATTGATGGACGTCATCAAATGGTCAACATGCAAGATCTTACGTCGTCATTATTAAACATAAAGACAGGAGTACCTCAAGGGTCCGTCCTGGGGCCCCTATTATTCTCATTACACGTAAATGATCTGCCATGCATACTCAAATCGGCCGAGTTGCTAATGCACGCTGATGACACAGCTTTAATAGTTACCGCCGATAACATAGCCGATCTAGAATGTAGAGCTAATGAAGAACTAGAAAATATTTTTAAGTGGTTTAGAGTGAACAAATTAACACTCAATGCAAAGAAAACCAAATACACCATTTTTCACTCCTGTTACCGAAATGTAAACTGTGAGTCATTTCGACTTACAATGAACAACTGCCAACTTGAGCATGTAAATGAATTTAAATATCTCGGTGTAGTGTTCGACAGCCAATTACACTGGAAAAAAACAAATTAACTCTCTTTGTACTAAGCTAGCATCTGGCTGCAGTATGCTACTGGCTGCTAGAAATTATTTTAGTAGAAATATTCTCAGAGTTCTTTATTTTTCGTTTGTTCATAGTCATCTATCATTCTGCTTAGACTCATGGGGATGGACTTTTAAAACTTACCTTGATCCTATCCGGATATTACAAAAGCGTGCACTTAGAATTATAGATTATGCGGCTTATAATGAACCCAGTGAGTCTTTGTTTCACAAGTTGGATATTCTACCTTTTGATTACATACGGCAGCTTAAAACCGCAGTCACCATCAACAATGTTATTGCACACAGTGTACCTTTCGATGTATCTATCTTTTCTTCCTCGTCCCGCGTCACTAGATGCACGACATTGCGGAATTTTAATCTTTCACCCACTAAAAACGTGTATGGTGAACGCTTACTACAGTTCGTAGGAGCTAAAGTGTGGAATAACATACCACTTCAGATTAAAGATTCTAGGTTTTTTTCGAGCGCACTCAAAAAATATTTGCTACATGTAGATCAATAGTAATGACCATGTACTAAGCCTTACACATATTTTGATGTTTTGTCTATACTTGATTATTTCATTATTTATGAACAAAGTGCAACAATGTGTGTCTTCTTGTATTTTGTTCGTTTGTTGAAAAATCAACGTTTTTTGATGTTTAGATTTTTTCTTATATACAAATTGTATTCTGCTTGTACACTTTCTCCCGTTAGACCCCTTACTAGCCTATGGCTATGGGTCTAATCAGTGTTGCGCATTTCTTGAAATGTGGTCCTAACAACCTCAATAAAATGTAAAATGTACTTTTTTATTTCAACTCCCAACTACTCCAAGTCATCGACAAATGCGCAATTGATGAACTTGATGAACACTATAGGCATAATTGCTGGAAAAATTCTAATAAGCCCCATCCTCCCCTCCCGAAAAACATGGGAAGTGACTAAAGAACTGTACAAGTGACAGGGGGAGAAAAGTAGCCCGGATCCACTTGTTGTAAGCAGAGCTAGCACCCCTGATGTGTGCACCCACGTCTTCAACATTCGAACGCGACACTGCGATTACCTTGCGAAGCTGGTGAAAGCTCATAAGATCGGGCCAGGTGATGGAAATCCCCCGTCTGATCGGCCGTAAGAAGAATTACGTTACGGCGGCTTCTGATACAAATAGATCAGGCAATACAGTCACTTGATGAGATGTAGCGGCCGTTTTCTGAGGTTGGAGGTGAGAGCAGCTCGGAGCGTTCATACTTTGTGCGCACTCATTTGAGAGACAGCCGAACAGTGCTCGGCTGTGACCGACCGAATGTTACGCATGTCATAAAAGTGCTCCGCAGCGCTCAAAAAGGACAGCATGAATTTGAGAATACGTGAGCAGAAAAGGCTCGTGAGACTTGACTTCTCTGCATAAAACTAGACTAGTTATTACTAGACATTTCTTTGGCGATAACCGAAGAATTCTTCTGCGTGACAATCGTTTAAAAAACGCACACTTCCATCGCAGAGATGCTGCATCTTTCGCTAACTTTGCAGGCGACATTAAGGCTGATGGTTTATACACAACAGGACTCGGTTTGGTATTGATGGCGTTCCCTCAAGCGGTGTCAACCGTGTCTAATTCTACCCTTTGGGCGGCTACTTTCTTCGCCATGATCTTCTGCCTCACTGTCGGATCACAGGTGAGCATTACGCTCCTTTTTTTACATATATTCTCAAGTCTGTATGCTACTTTCAAGATCTTCAGGCAGAAAAAAAAGTGTACTTATTTCCCCGTAAAGAGAAGTCTGAGTAGTATGTGAAGCAGCCATGGGTCAAGTTAAAGTTACCTAAAGAGCTGCTCCTTATTCATCACCGTACGCGTTCATGGTTGCGCACACAGTCGCTTTGCGAGCCCTCGCATCCGCCACACTCATGTTCATGTTTTCATTCATACTACTACGCTTAGTGTATGATAAAGAGAGGAGTTAGCACTTTAATCATACAGAGCAGCGCAGCCCCGCTAGTTGCCCCCACTCATACTCCTTACGAGCCGCGATGTAGCGAGCGTTACCGCAGAGCCATCTAGTGGGTGCTCGGTGTACTATCGTGACTACGACGACGGACAAGGGACGAGTGCTGACCATAAGCCACTTTGCATCTAAAATGTGCTAACTAGGTATGAATGAAAGACGTCAACATCAAGCGGTGCATCGGTTGTACATATTATTGGTATAGATCTTCTTTGTCCTTTTCGTGAGTCCAAATCGGGCAATAAGTGGGTCGCCGTTGCTATAGACTACGTGACTAGGTATGACATCACTCGAGCGTTCCCCACCAACACCGCTGCTGACGTTGCGGATTTTTTGCTTCATGATGCCATCCTACACCATGGCGCTCCTCACCAATTACTCACAGATCGCGGCCGCGCATTTGTCCCGAGTGATCGACGACCTTCTGCGCTCTTCCTCGAAGCAGCACAAGTTGACCACTTTATACCATCCCCAAACAAATGGCCTGACGAAACGCCTAAATCGCACCATCGTGGACATGCTCGCGATGAATGTGTCTTCCGACCAACATGACTGGTACCTGGCGCTACCTCACGTGACCTTCGCGTACAATTCTTCGCGCGACGACACCACTGGCTATTCACCTTTTTATTTGCTCTATGGCCGTGATTCGACGTTACCACTCGACACCCTACTTCCGACCACTGCAATGCCGTCAACCGAATATGCACGCCACGCTATCGCTCGTGCCAACCACGCACGTCAGATCGCCCGCTCTAGACTTTCGGCTTCGCAAGCCACCCAGAAAGCCATCTACGCCAGCCGGCATGTTGACGTTCGCTTCTCACCCGGTTCTCTCATTCTGCTGTAGTGCCCAGTTTATCGAGTTGGCTTATCAGCGAAGCTGTTGTCTCGCTACATGCGTCCTTACTGTATCATCCGCCAGGTATTGACGTCACCTATTATATGTTTCCTGCATCTGAGACCACAAGCCTGCCTGCTACCACACCCAGTGATGTTGTGCACGCCCGCAGGCTAAAACCTTACCAGCTGCCTTCTGAAGACCGTAATTAATGTGCATCGAGACAACACTTTTACCACCGGAGGAGGGAGGGGGCAATGCTACGTAGCTGACATATCAGCTATCAAAAGACGACAATGAGGAAGTAGTTTGTCGGTTGTGCGTGCTGTCCTCCATCTTAGTCGATGCTATACGGATCAGTATAAAAATATATTCTAAATAGACGCAACTCGTGTCATTTTAACGTAACAATATATTGACAGAAATGCGAAGAAGTGCTTCAAATGAGAACCTGACGTGGCTCGTATTTGCCCCGCAGATGGTGTTTCTGGAGACGTTATTGTCTCCACTCAAGGACGGCTACGAGTACCTGAGTCAGCGTCGTACCACTCTCGCCGCAATTGCCTGCTGCGTCGGCTTCCTGCTCGGCATACCACTCACTATGCAGGTGATTGAGAGTGGATGTGGGCGCAGGACACGAGTGCGCGCACACTAGTGCCGTCGCTGCCGCGAACTATCACTCACTGGATCCACGACTGACTCAGTCATTTCATAATTCACTCGATTGCTTACTCACTCTTTCACTTCATGACTGACTCAATCAGTCCATAACTCATTCCTCACGCAGAAATGAATGACTTCTCTGCATGCGGACGCATGATACGTAAGGTCGGCGACAAACGTTCAGGCCTTGGCGCCACGGCAAATGCGCATACTTGATAATGTGACCATCTACGAGTCGCAGAAAACACTACTGACTGCTGAGTATATGTAGGGAATACATTCTCTAGCTAAGCCAGAATTCAAACAATCTGTTTTTTTTTTTTTACGAAATGTAGAGTCCGGTTGGCTTTGTGACTGAGTGAGTACTTATGGAAGCGTCTGCTTTATGGTCTTATAAGGAAGCTGTTCCGATATGATCAAACATTTGGCCGCGAATGCCA